TTATTTTATTGAAATGTAGTATTTTATGTAATTTAACGGGAAATTTGTTAGTTTCAGACTTTCCTTTTTATAAACATTCTTAAATAAAAGAGAGGAAATGAAAACATTGGAACAATTTGGTTGTTTTTCCCCAAGAATCAATTTTCTGTCATACCCCAAATAATAATTTTCTGTAGTTTGCTACAGTGCTTCGTGGATGAAAGGAATCACATAAATGAAAGATATGTTTTCATTTCTTACTTTAATTTTACGATTCTTTAAGCGCAACACGCATCACATGACCAGCGAAGACTGGTAATCGAGTTCCCATGTCTGGTCGACGACATCTACAGACGCAATGAAGGGATATAAGTATTAATTAACCTTATTAGTATGTTATCTCTATGGACGGGAACCATGCCAGTTCTTCACCGGAACCGGCTCGAGCGCCCGCCTCACGCACACCTTGTGACGTTTGCCGCTGTGTTTCAGGTGGGTATTAGATCAAAATGTTGAAATCTCTCTCAATCAGGTCGTCGAAACCAAACTGTGATTAAATATATGTGGGATTCAAAACACATAGGTCCTGTTATCACCAGGGTAGAAGATTTTTGTTGGATGCATGGATATTTTTACCGTCAAGTGAATCCCTTACGAAATCCTGAATGTGCTGTACCAGACCTACATGTGCTGTACATGTCTGAAGTGTGTGTGCCAATCACGTCTAATTTTTTGTTAAGATATCAATGCTAGGAACTGCAAGAAACTGTCCTTAATTGAAAGAAGGATGTCAAATCTTCCTTCAAAAGCTGTCTTTTCCCCCGTACACATTGCGACCATTTGCCAAATGGAAATAAAATAGCCTACAGCGGAACTTCACACGGGCTCACTGTGGTCATAATGGTGTTCGGGAGTGACTAAAATTTCAGTTTGAGGCATTCATCCTGTCCGTGACGTCTGCATTCACTTGTTTTTGCGGCAGTTTAATGACAATGTTAAATAGATTAGTTTTGATGATTGGGGAGTATTCTTTGTTCGGGGTTCTTTTTTGGTATTTCTCAATTTTCTTCTAAATTTTAAAAATCAACATTGTCTCAATTGATGTTTTGAACAAGGCCAAGGTGTTCTCGTGAATGAAACTTTGTATTGAAGCATAGCTTTTGAACCGGTTGTCCGCTATCACAATTCTTGCACCACTCTCGTATTATGATTTGTCAAAATTCCTCTTGCCATGTTAATTAATCTTGAGCCAGTATCTGAAAAAAGACAAGTTCCTATGGGCTTACCAGGGCATACACTGTGAACGGGTTACATGGAAGGCATTCCCACCACCCATGGTTTGCCTTGCTCTCAGAATTCTCATTGTTCAACCCAGTCCCATTTTGAAGATTGGTGTATTGTACCCTCTGTAGCAGCAAGACCTTTGAGCTCTGTTATATTTAGAAATGTGCCAGATAACTTCTGTTCTTGTATTTTAGGGAACTGATTGGCATCAACCCAGAGGGCCCAGTGGTAACCACAAAGACCGGAGGCAAGAAGAAGAAGAAAAGGACTGTCGCTCCCAAAATTATTGCCCTCCTTCGCGGAATCATGGAATTCGAGGCAGATTGGCAAACTGATCAATATCACACTTGTTGCAACTCAGGACATTTAGACCCTGTATCCTTCCATAATTTTTACATTTTTCTCAGCGTCAGATTAACTGCAAGTTGGCACAAACTTCTAACTTAAGGTTTTTTTTAGTTGTGTTTACAATTTCAAAGATGAAACTGTTTCAGAGATAACATGTGAAAGATATGAGTCCAGATTAACTGCCAGTTGGGACAAACTTTAAGTAAATACTACCTGCAGGTATGCCGTGTGGATGTTTTTATCTGGGTCCACTAGGTATGAAGAAAGATCAGTAATTACCTGTACATGTAATTAAATTTTTGCATATTATTGAGGAATAAACCATTCAAATTACAGAATATTGCAGTTGCTTGACTGGTGTTTCTGTAAATTTAAATAAGGTGCCTACAACAGAGTCTGTAGAGTTTGTGTTTTTATATGTAAACTTTATTTATCACAAGCAGATGTTCTGTAAACAACCAGATGAACTGTAAATTGTAACAAGAATTATGCAATAAAACTACAGGAGTTCTCAAGATTCTGGTTCAGACACTTTACTGTTTTTAAAGAGAAATCGCATTTATCACATACAGATTGTCTGTTAAAAACAGATAAGCTGTAAATTATGAGAAGAACTATGCAGAAAAATTACAGGAGTTCTCGAGACTCTGCTGCAGGCACTTTTCTGGTTTTTTTTAAGGAGAAAGTTTCTAACAGTGTACACACTTTTGGACACGTTTTGTTTCGACAACAGAACTGAATTCTGCTCCCAGAATGGATAATTTTGGAAGCAGTAATAGTTGAGGTGTGCGCAGTAGTACATTGCTAGAGATAGATAGTAAATCAAGTTTAGAAGGAACAGCTTTTGACATGTAAGTCGCACTTACAGAAAGTTTCTGCATGACTTGTACTTGAATTATGCTTGACTTCAGGCCTGTTAAGTAAGAAATTTAAGACAGTATTATAGTATAGTATAGCTAGCCTATCAGGCTTCGTATATGAGACTTCATTACATCAAAGTTGGGACCGTCTGAGACATTACGCATCGGCAAAAGTGGTTTCAAAAACTGAACTATCAATTTGTCATTTATTTCCCCCAGATTTCACTGGAAAAAAATCCAAGAAGTCCATGATTTGTGTTAATACCTTATCTGCGGACGCAGTGAACCCAAATCGTGCAACAGACAATGTGATATGAGCGACACGATTCTTCAGGGCAGAGATGAAACCAAAGTGAGAAGCAGAAAGCTGACGTTTCCGTCGAATGAAGAACAAATAAGGAAATTCAAAGAGAATGCAATGAAAAAAACTTTGTCTAAATCATAAAATCATATTCGTTCTCTGTTAAAACTGACTTTTTTTCATTTCGGAAAGTATAATGTAGTTTTTCAATGTAAATCTTTGGTCAGGTTGTGAACTCAAGTTTTTTAAATTCTAATCTACAAGTGTCTGTGGTAAAAACGGCAGTATCTTAGTTTGGCTGTTCTTAGCTGCGTTCCGGCATTTTATACTCACGGTTACACTTCTTCATACCACATGTCGGTTTTTATTAATTTTATGCAATAGATTAATAACTTTCAGTGCAATATTTCCTGTGAGTGTGTAAAATTAAACTTAAGACTTTTTGTTATTTTATTGATGAAGTTTTTCAGTCACTACATTCCTCAACATTTTGGAAAGCACTTTATTTATGAATGAATAAAACATAGAAGGAATAGATATTGATTTTAAAGAAAAAAAATAGCCTCTTTGTGATAAATGTCCCAACAAACAAGATGGGAATACTTGACCTACATGACCTTCACTTATTAATCCGGCATGGGCGTAAATCTTGGGGATGGGATATAGATTCCCAACTTCTGGGTGGCGGATGGGCTATTGCATCATCCTCACTACTTTTTTTGTGGTGAGAAAAGTAGGCGGTAGTCATTGGTTGTTGTACAGTAGTCAATTTTATTGAAACAAAAACGGTAAAACTGTATTTATCCCATTACAGTTTCACCGTTATAAAAACAGTAAAGGGTCCACTTCCTGCAGCCGATTTTACGAAACTTTACACATTAACGTAACTCCACTGACAAATTTAGACAGATTTCACGAAACTTACGCACTAAAGGCCGGTCCATACTTTGCGCGGAAACAAAATGCGAATTTGTGACGTCAGATCAAATATTCGCGTTACGAATTTGATAAAAGTTCCAACTCGAGCGAAATTTTGCTGCAGTATTTCGTGCTTTCGAACTTGCTTCACTTTCGCATTCGCCTGAAGTATGAACCGGCCATAATTGTGCGACTTCTTCAACAAATCATGGAGCCCTTTTTATAGCCCCATGAACAAATTATGGCGTAACTCTCGCAGTCTTTTTTCGTGGCGTATATAAGTTACGCCAAACGAAGTGAAAAGGAAAGATTATCGCATTCGGGTGAGCCTAATCATTGCTGAACTTAAAAAGGCTTATACAAGAAACGTCCAACTTTGTTAAAGAAGGTAATGAAGAGTTGTTTGGCTCAGTGAGAGAACTGCGAGACTTCAAAATAAATGGCTGACGAAGGTTGTTGAACGATTGTTGACTGTTGTTATTCTGGAAAGGAACAGCCTCGTAAAAGCCGTTTTTGTCCTCGTCCAAGACATTTAATATTTCCAAAATGTGGTGCAGCTAGGTAAATTTTCGTGAAATCGAACATAAGTATACTGCGCAGCTACGGCATAAAATTTGTGTTGTAATGCTGATACATGTATTGTTCAAAGTTACGCTACGTTTCGTGAAATCTGCTGCAGCTAGACTGTGTTCGTGTTGTGCATGCAGTGTGTTCCCAGCCTGCTCACAATAGAGGGCGGTCACACTTACACAAATGCATGAAGGGTTGTTTATTCGATTTTTTTTCTGCGTAGCATTGTCGTCGGAGACATTGTTGAAGGTAAATTTTCCGAAACCGTGGAAAAATGCACTTAATGCACTGAAGATCAGCCTCACAACTGGATTATCCAGCAATCGGGAACGTCCTGTTCCCATGGATTTCTGCAAAACAAATTTACAGGAACTGCACTTTGAGCGTTAAAAATGACAAGTATTTTTCTTGATTTTTTTCTCAAAGCAATGAACTCATAATATCAAAGTCCGTGGAATGAATACATACCTCCCAAAGTTGCAGTACGTGCAAATCGTGTACACTACTTTTGGCAAAAAAAGGTATACGAATAAATTGTCAAAACAATTTTCAAAAATGTTTTAGTCTTTTTAGAAATTGCCCTCCACGGTGAAATTCGGAACAAGTCGGAATCACAATTCACATGAAACACTACCATCTTCTCTAAATGATAATGGTAACAATATAACGTATACGGATAAATCCACCATCATAATGGTAACAATATAACGTATACGGATAAATCCACCATCATAAACACATTGGAAATGTGTTTGTCACCCAAAATGGAAAGAAACACCAAATAAATAACGCGTTATTATGTTTTGTAAATGTATGAGGATTAAAACAATCAGAGCCCTTGTCACGAACCCGAAGGAAGCAAAAGCTACAGAGCCCACGGTAAAGGTTAGCCTACCTCCATGGTGGTAAACAGCATTCGCAACTGCTAGCTCACGGTACGGTGGCAACTAGTACTTAAAATGCTGGCAGCATCTGGCAACCACCGGAACGCCCTCCCAAGGTCAAACCTGGACTGCCAACCTCGCTCTGTACGTACGTATATGTACTGTACATGTACGTATGTACAATTGTACACACCGTGCCACATGCACAAAGCATGCACAGACCAATCTACGATGACTCCATGACAGTACACAGCTTGTGTAGTAGGAGCAGGTCAACGGTAACAGCTACGACAAGTGCCAGTGGAGCTTCCCGTTCACTGGTTTACCTGAAAGGTATGTTATGCCTTGTTTAATGCTTAGAAATTCTCTTGTCCCTGCAGATTTCATTCAGCAAGACAGCCCCATGAAGGAAGCTGCAGAACAAAACCATGCCTATTATTGTTGCCTCGGCATGCATAACGTGGCTTGTTGGTTGGGTACGTGCGCAATGGCGCATTGATCAAGCACGATGTGGAGTTCAACAACAGCCGGAACTGCGGGGTCCGATCCGACGTCCGCTCTGCTCCCACGTGGAGCAGAGCGGACCCCACAATTCTGGGGGTAAATTAATAAGGTTTGTAATGATGTTACATGTATCTCCACCGTCAATAATCATAATAATAATCATCCACTGCTACAAAACGAGAATACATGTATGGCTGTTTAACGCTGACGATCCGGAAGATTGAGCTCTTGTCCCTCGGATGGCGTGCTTGTAAAGACTAAAGTAACGTGTGTATGATGGCTAAATTTGCAGTTTTAGAGTTCGATGTGTTTACATTTGTTAATGATGAACACCATGATCTTTATGAATGACCGGATCCACCTATTCTGTGATAAGACAGTACATGAAGCACGTATGCTGGCATTTCTATTATATATTATTACTTGGTAATGAAAAATCGTCAAATCTAGAAATATTCAACATTCAAAAGAAATTATTTCGGAAAAGCGGTTATTTTTATACAGAAATTAACAAAGAAACAAAGAATAAACTTGCCATATCACAGCTACCAATTAAAAACGACAACCAGCAAGTTCATCTTCGCCGTTAACTGGCAAATCGAAACTGTTGAAAATGTTAGTGGGACATCGTTGGCCTAGACAATATAGTAAATTATATTTGCAAGAAAAGAAACCGACCGTGTATTTTTTATTTTCTGTCGTATTGTAAAAACTCGTGCGTTCGTGACGTCTGTGTGATACTACCTCCCGTCACGCCACTAGTAATTGAACTTCTTGAATGCATCATTATCTACAATTTTGTACAAAGTTAAGTAAACTTTGTACTGCTAAAGTAAAGATGATATGGCACACTCCACATTCCAGCAATCCTTATAGCATGCAAATAGTAGACAGTCCAAGATAAACGCGTTTGAATAGTCCCCATTCCATAGCACTTCTTCGACTATTTTGTTGTTACAGATTTAGGAATGGTGTACGAAGTCATGATACGCAAGATTTTTATAATGCTAATCCACACCCAGTTGCAGAATTTTTTAAAAATTAAATAGCAAGTCATTAATTACCCTTTTTTCACTTCGTGAAAACAGCAAAACCTAAAAGCCTTCACTCTTTTTGTCATTCGTGAAAACACGCCCGTGAAAAAAATGAATGAATTTTGTTACATTTCAGAGCTTAAAAGTTAAACACTCTTTGTTCAATATCGTTTGCGTGCATGTTTACACTACAGTCGCATCCTGATTCGTACAGGTATATTATTGTCTCTTTTTGGCCCAAATAACGAGGTGACTTTTTGTCTGATTTCGTGAAAACAGAGAAATACAGAGACAAGTCTATTGGTCAGATGCTGGTTAGGATTAGTTATGAAAGTAAACAACATTTTGCTTTTAGAACTGTTCTGAATTGTTTTTGAAACGCCAATGAAATATTATTGTGCAAAGTGCCGGTTTTGAATTGCTCTTATTTAAACCAGCGTAGTTTCCCTGGCTTGAATGTTCTTATAAATAAAATACTGCAATTTGTGATGGATAATACTTTGGAAAATTTCCCTTTCGAGAAACGTCCAAATACATGTATGATTTTCGTAAAATCCTTGTAGGGTACCGCTTAAGTACCCCGTAAGGCCTGTATGGGGGTAACACCCGTTATTCTGGTATGTATACCCTACAACTTCTACAAGGTACCTTTATTTTTCTTAAACACGTTATTTCACACACTTGTTTCACATGCACAGTGTAGACATTCAAAAACTCAACTCATTTCTCTTCCACTCTGCTAACTGCTTCGAGCTCCAATTTTAATGATTTTCTGGACTGTTCCTCTTCTTATGCCACAGATAACCCTGACCCCCAAATACCTCTAAAGTGGTTTTTCGGAGAAGGAAACAGTGGACGTGTGCGGAGTCCTCACGTCTTCATACCCTTTTAACTTCGTGGAGGTTCACACTACGTGTATTTTTGCCATGCCTGTATATACCCACAAAACCCGTCTTCGTACACGTTTACGCGGAATGTCCGGTTATTAAGCTCCACCTGTATACCCTTGACGGTCAAGAAAGTGGAAGACGTAACGCTCAGGACGCCCCCAATTGTATTAGGTACAGTTCCCACACATTCATTGGTGTTTAACAGTCAGCAACATTAAAAAAATTGAACAGTTGACAGAGGCAAAAATAAACACAGGATTATAGTTTAACAATGAGATCAAATTTGGTTTGTTTTCTCTGCAGTCTTCACCTTTTGTCTGTTTTACTTTCCAGAAAAGTCCCACACTTGTATGGGTATAGGCCTAATTACCGTGCGAATGGGGAAACATAAAAATGATGCCACAGAAACGAATTTGAATGGAAGCATAATGAAATTGGTTGTCATCTGATTGAATTGATTTCTTGACCATCTCTTCCGATTCCCAAGGCGATTTCGACGAATTTAAATGAGCGAAACCATAATTTAAATTTGAATCAATTCATTTAAATGGCTAGTCGATGAACTTCGTTAAATGGCACTTTTAAATGCGGGTACGAAATAGCGTTTATTTGTCAACAGTTTTGAATAGGCCTCGTGTAAACTGAACGATTTCTAAAAATAAAATTTGCTGGGAATACCTTTTTGACATTTTCGTAGCGATCACGATTTCATTATTTACGAAGTGCTCAAATCTCTAGTTTTTCAAAAGTTAGCACAGGTCATTTCATGGTACCAGCGAAGAATTAATTTAATAATTTCTTGTGAGACCACGAGCATGAGAGCAATGCGAAATGTTATTTTTTTTTACACAGTTCTTTTGCTTTAAGTGACAGTTTTGCATGTAATTTACATACACCAGACGTTTTTCTGGGTTTTGCCTGCTACACTTCCGGCCCTGCATGCATGTCAGCTCATGTACTTACATGTACGTGTGTACATGCACATGTAATAGGTCTGCCATAAAATTCAGGAAACATACATAATGTACATGTACATTCGTGTAGCGGCCAGGAAGACAAGTTTGCTCAGCACGCTTAAGTTGATTGCAATGAGTTGAGAAGACTGGTCTTCATGAATTTATTCGATGGGAAATAACTGTAAGTTGTGTACATGTGTGCAGAGACACGGAGACCTATGATGTGTTGTGATGGTAATGAGCGCATAGTGTTGTGATGGTAATCTACCTATTCAAGATAAACTAGTCAAGCATGCAGCGTTCGCACGTGCGCTTGCACCTGGCTGAAGCTGTCCATAGGAATATATGCGATCACCATGGCCAAGGCGGTCCACACGTGGTGGTGTTGTTTACATTTAGTCACGTAGGTGAAAAAGGTCTATAGGTAAGTCTAGACCCGTATACGATATCGACAAATGACCCTGTTTACGGGTCTATTATTTCAAACCAACACACTGCAGATTATGATGTTGGTCTGACCTCAAACTGCACCGAAGCACGGAATTCTAAAAAGCCGAGTGTATTTTGGTATTTAAAACATGCTTCATGTAATTATTCGTACATGCATTTTATTCGGCAAGAAACACATTTGCTTAGATGGAGCAGGTGCAGATCTGAGGGGTCGATCCCCTCCCCACTGTGAGACAAAAATAAGAAAAAAGGGAAATAATGAAAACTACCTAAAATAAATTTAAACACAAGACAGCACGCCCCAGTGCATCAATTTCATTATAAACAATGTATATGTCATGTAATGTTTGGCTGAGTTAGGTCGATATGCAAATGCGTCCGCCGTTCGGTCGGGAAGAGAAAAAAATCTAGCTGAAAACCGTCAGTAAATCTAAAGCCTTCATACCTTTCACCACCACATCCTAGTTTTAAAAACTTCGGAAAAAACTTTGAATGCTTTGTTTCGAGCCTTCAAAAATCGCATCGAAACGTAAACAAACTACCGCTTACGAGAAGAGCTTTTCACAAAAATCACTAGTTTGGACCATTCTGGTTCTATTATCAATTTTAGTTTCACAAAACGCTTTAGGAAAATGCCTATCTTACCCTGAAAATATGTTGGGCCGGACTTTTTATTTCCAAAAACTGAAAATAAGATGTAAATTTCATGAAATTAAGCACCTGCTTGCCTGGCACGAATTCTCACGGTCCTCATTATGAACTTAAACTGAGCTGCTCTGATTTTGTGTTTCTGGTGAGGTAAGATTTACAGATGAAAATTCTGTATGACCTAGAGTTTTCCTAGCCTAAAACAACACATAATATCACAAAACAACTCTTCATCTTACAAACTGTATTTTCTCTTCTGTGCAAACCCCAAGGTTTTCGAGAAATGTGGACTTCACATGGGTGATATTTTCAGCCTGAACCGCCATTTTCGGTAGCCCGCGTAAGCGCGGTACCGGTCTGCCCGACTGACTACTGCATACCCGCCTGACGAGAAAAAAATGCGGGGCGATTAGCACTTTAACTCGATATTCTTTGGTAAATTATGACCTCCCAGCAGTGCAAGATAACCTCCACTTCCTGATATATAAACAGGTTGGATGGGGTATTGTCAAAACCTTTAAATGACTGGTATTTTAAATAACATCCTCAGAGGTTGATAAATGAAATAGTCCTCTTTCAAAAGCTACATATTATGTGGATCATTTTTACTTGAAAGGCTTTGAAAGAAAATTTGAAATTGTTTTCTTACACTGAAACCGTTTGTTTTAATTTGTCGCTTTTTAATACCTTAAATAAAAAAATAGTTCTGGAACTACATACCAATCAAAAAGGAAAGAACAAAGCTACTCTTGACAAAAGTTTCAAGGATACAGGCATGTAAATTTATTACTTTTAATTGACAGACTATTGGAAAGTGGCTCTTTGATTACATAGACAATCTCCACAAATTATACAGAATATGTGGTGACAGAGTTCATCCATGGAAAATCCATAACAGACAACCTAAGCCTTGCTCAGAAAATCAAGAGAAGATACAAGCAAAGTATAAAATCAATGTAGAAACCGATGGGCCACATTGCCACCCACCCTTCATGTGCCATCTTTGCAGTTCAAATCTTTATCTTGCAAAGAAACACCCTGTGCCAAAGGATTGGCCCCCAACCCTCCAACAACCCCCTGCTTCATTTGTGACAAGGTGAACATTTCCAAAAGAGGTGGTCGTCCTTCGAAAGGGAAACATGCTCGTCTTATGACACAGTTCGTCTTATGCACAGTTGCCAAGGCAACTGTGCAGAGGAACTTCGAGTGGCTTAGGCAAACAACGACTCCGGCAATGGGGCAGAATTTTCAGTCAGATGATAGTTCTTTCATTTGCAAGTACTACTGCAAAATCTTCAACAGATCTACCGAAACACAGTGTGAGCACATTGGTTGATTGGAATGCTTAGAAGAGCTGTTTTCCAAATCTTCATCTTCAACAGTTCTTTGCCCAGTATGTAAGGAGCAAATCAGCCTTCTGCATATCCAACCTGCCAAGCACTACTTTGTGAATGTCCTCATGAATGGGAGGGTCAAGTGCAAGAACTGCCACCAAAGCAGTTGGCTCAAAAATGCAGAAAGACATGACTGCAGTAATCCACAAAGTTCAGCACCTGTTGATGAGAAGATATTCAGAGATATTCTGAACCATGCAGTAACTTTTGATGTATAGAGACATGCATAGCCTTAGCTATGTTGTAAGCACGGTTTGCAAATAATAATAACATAATCTATAAACCAAAAACCGACATATTTGTAAATGATCGTACATATACTGTGCAATGTTGTAAACACACAGGCCTATTTGTCGTGTATATGTATGTCTTTGTCAAACTTGTTAAAAATAATGCTATTTGAAGATACGTACCTGACGGCATGTACTTTGAAGCAACTCCTTCACGGTGAGGACGCCCATGAAACCATCACGCACGTAGAGCTCTCGTGGATATTCCTCCAAGATGTAGTGTATCAATGCAAAAATCAGCGTGTCGTGTAATGCCTTGCAAATGCATACCGCTAGCTTTGCACAGTTCACAGAGCGCAAATACATTGTAATAGGTCCATTCTTCACGCTGGATGTCAAGCCTAGACTGGCAAAACTCTAGGAGCGATGCTTTTGAAGCTTTGACAACGGTCAAAAATCCCGTAATCGTCGATCAATCACCAACAGACATTAACTTTTAGACACTCTTCTCACGCGTATCCGGCAACCAAAATGGCCGAACGTACTGACAATTTAAATGCCAATTTTTAATTTTTTAATATGCCTATTCTATAAATATCCATTAACACAGTTCCTCTCAAAAAGGATTTAATTAAGATGACCCTTTCGGCTCATTAATATTCATAGTACTTTTTTACCACAAGAGGGCGCACTTAAATGGCGCAAATCTTGGGAATATGCGCACAACCGCTTTTCCGTGCCGAAACAGCGGTGATCCAGAGTAACAGCACTCTGTCTCGTACGGGTGGCTTTGTGCGTGAAGTGCTCACCTCTTACCTGAGTTCATTTATGGGCCACGTGATGCTCGTACAGTTGTTGATTATGAGCACGCAGCTTTCTTTAATATAAGGAGAGTGCTATCGATCTGTAGCTGTGCTCGTTGTAAAATTCAGCAAATTGCATGATTTGGCAGCTGTCTGGGCTTGACCTTCGTAATTCAGCCCTGCAGCTGCTAGTACAAGAGGGATTGGCCTCCATTAGCGTAAAAGTCCGGCCACATTCACGGGAGAATTGAGCATCTTTCTGTCACGAATTCAGTTATCCGCCATGTGAAACTCTCTAAATCAAGTCGTTCCTACATGTACATTCACTTCTACAACTTTTTTGTATTGCATTTTCCCTCTCCGATAACCCTCTTGTGCAATCGATTCCGTGCACAATTATACTGCACACATGTAAACAAAACTGAATTGAATGCAAGTCTCCTGCCCTGTTTATCTGGCTGAATTGAATTATTAATCGAGGAACAAATTGCTCGAATTTCAGTCATCTGGGAAATTTGCTGTCATCATTTCGAACCATCTACAAAATCTGCATCCTTGTATGAATCGAATTCCCACTACATGTACACCTCTTTATGTAATATGTGTTCTATGTTGTTCTGTATTTACCATTAATTTTCCGTATGTAGTATAATTACAGTGCGTTTTTTACTTTTCGTGTATTTTTAACAGTACACCGTGAATATGGCCCAGGAGCATGTGTATAAAGTCCTCTTCTTTGTTCAATCAGCAGCTTTCATCATGCTAATTATAAGTAAGTATTTCAAGAGACACAGAAACATAAATGAAAAAAGAAAAAAATAAAATCCTCCAAATATACATCTGGCAGTCACTTTATGGCTTCTGATAAAGTGTCAGGGATATTAAATTTCTTATTTGATGCAAATAGGTTGATTTACGACGCTCAAAGGCTACCATCTCTTGAGGGTGACTGGTTGATTTTTCTTAACGACCTACAGTTATACATCGTTTTCCCTTGGCATGACATCACCTCCAATACGTCTTTTGCGAGCTAAAGTTGAATAAAATCTGGTACACTGAGTTATCTGTTTGCACAAGAACGTAACAATTTGAATTAGAGACACTGTTGCTATACCCTGTGATTGAGGCTAGCTTTTGCATAACGACCACCATCTCTGGAATGGACTGGTTCCTCTGTGTCCTTATCCATTGAGAACAGTGTTGTTGCAAGGCATCTATCAAGCAAACGCTTGCCCCGAAACGCGAGGAAAAGCAACTGTTTTTAGTATGGAGAATTCAAATTGCTATGTTCACGTGAAGTGAATGAATTCAGTGTACCAGATTTTATTGCAATTTAACTCACAAAAGGCGTGTTTGTCTTTTTGAAGCTTGAAGAGAGTGTTTTTTGAAAATTAATGAATTAATTTTTAAATTTGGAGCATATTAACAAGCCAAATAGCGCCCTCCTATTGTGTCCACTGTACCTCGAACAGGCTAGTGGGATAATTCACTTTGAATAATACTGTTCATTGATATGGCATGTTCGTTTTTATTGGTAAGAGTCAATCGGTTTTTTTTTTAAAAGGACAGATGCATCCGTACTTGAAGATGGCGTACTGACTGGGGATGTGGGTATTTACCGCGTATTTTTTGTAACGTGGCCTTTCCCCTACAAGTAGGCCTACCTTATTCCTTATGCCTTATTTTTTATAGCGCCCTTTTCCCACGAGAGCATTTAAAGATCACCTCTTAGGAAAAAATGTTTTCTCTGATTTCATCTGTTCAAATAAATATGGAAGCATCCAAATCGAACGCAGTGTCATTTGTCTTCAGAGCTCAACTATAACGAGCTAAAAAGGGTTTTTCTGTTCATGCCGAGATGCGAATTCTGAATGTAGATTGTGTCATTCTGAGAAAACATGGAAAACGAGGGGAACCCTCGCCCTGTGTTCTTAGTGGATAAACCCTTGTGCATGTCAAACAATGGCTACAAACAATGGCTACATGCACTATTTGACATGCAGAAGGCTTATCCACTACGAACACAGGGCGAGGGTTCCCCTCAGTTTCTCTGTTTTCTCAGATTGACGCAATCTACATTCAGCATGTTCAGAATTCGCATCTTGGCGTGAACAGAAAAAGGCCATTTTAGCTTGTTACAGTTGAGCTCAGAAGATGAATGACACTGCATTCGATGTGCATGTTCCATATTTATTAGAACAGATAAAATTAGAAAAAAACATATTTTCCTTTGAGTTGCTCTTTAATGTTGCGCGAATGCGGCTATGCTGCCTGTAGAGCGCACCCTGTTGTCGGAAATTGTCTACATTTCAATTTTACTGACAACATACAACGATCGTGTAGACTCCTCCTATACCTTTTTTCAAAGGAGGTGGAGTGACTGATGAAAAACAGGTTTTGTTTCTATCAGTACAAAATGCTAAACACATCACCCCACCAAATCAAACGACTCAGCTACACCACATTTATTCCATCGGTCATTCAAGCACTCGTGAAAATGAAAAGCTGTGTGTTGGGGAGGGGGAGGTGGTCTGACACCAGTTTTCTGTGTGCGTTGTTTAAAGGGGACGGAATCGGAAATCCAGCGGCCCTTGTCATACTGGCTCAATTTATTAAAAGCACTCGTAAAGGGGTGCTCGGGAATAAGCATTTCGTGGGAAAAGGGGTCAAGCATTAAGAAATTTGGAGCTTGGGGGAAAGGAGAGAAGATAACCCTAACCCGCTGTGGGAAGGCATGCCACTGCTTGATTATTGTGGTTTTTGTCTACAATCCAAGTAAGGCTATTATCCCTGTTTTATCCTTTTATACGTCTTCAGTTTAAACTGCGCTAATATCGAAGACCACAAGCATACTTCTTGGATTCATTTTTGATGATACAAGATCTAATCTTATTAGAGGCACCCATAACCGAAGTTTCTTTGTGTTTTGACAATGCTAAGCACTCATGAGGTTCAGTTTTTATATTGAACTCCTTAGTTGGAAATTATAATGTATTTGTTCCAATCCGCAGGTTATTCGCAAAATCCAGGTGTTTTGTACGGATCAAGATTGCAGCCTTCACCAAAAGCCAGAGTTACAAATGCTTGCAACTGTAGCTCGAATAAAACAACACTGAAAAATGAAACTGTCCATTTGTGCATGCCTGTCCAAAATGATATCCGCGGGCCACTTTCAAACTGCACTCTAGCGGACGTCATGAAGAGGTCAAAGGTTATGTTGCTGAGTACAACAAACCTAGGCTTCCTAGATATCACATTAAACATGCTGGAAAGCATCAAACGAATAGGAGTCTGTGTGAACACGACCATCATTGCAGAGGACCAGAAATGTTACCGATATTTAAGTAAGAGAGCAGAGGCTGACCCAGCTGTACATGTGGTGTTGACCAACTCCGGAGAATCCACGAGTAAGGAGATACTACGCACTCAACGCCGTCAGTACTACGCGCTTTTTAACAAGCGCCAATCTTACCTCCTGACTATGCTCCAACAAGGCCTGGACGTTCTCTTTTCAGACGCTGACACATTTTGGTTCCGGGATCCCTTTCCATTCTTCAAGGGAGATTTCGACATTTCTTTAATTGACTCAATTTCACCTTATCCGGTCCGGACGAATCGTGGAGATTACTGTGCCGGGTTCGTATATTACAAGCCAACGAATGCCACACTGCAGCTCGTAAATACATGGATTCAAACTATGCAGGAAAACGACAAAAAGGGGAAGCTTCTCGCTGACCAAAGCGTTCTGAATGGACTCGTACATGCTGACAAACCTGTGTATGTGAGGATCAAACCCCTAGACACCAACATTTTCCCATGGGGACCCAAGTTTTATTCTCTGTTAGAGAAAAAGGCAAATTATTCCACAGTTGTAATGCATGCTGCCAGCATCCGTGGGCGTGCCGCCAAGATTGCCAAGTTCAAAAGTTCCAATATGTGGTTGGTGAACAGTACTATTGAGGAAATAGCCGGCCAAGCGTGAGTATCCCAAAAGTGGTGACTGGTGAATGGACACAAGTGTCGAACAATATGTAGGAACGAGGGATTCTTAGAATATATTAATCGACCTTGGTTTTATTCTTCGGTAAGTGCAGGGTCTACCAATACATACCTCCACACGAACATCTCTGCAGCAGTGTCACTAAACTAGGTCTATAATAACTGTTCGTTTCTTCATGATATATGCAATTCCTATATCGACAATGCAACTTGTGACCTGCTACACTCATTTTGTTCCTTGTCATAACCAGGTCGCGACGTCGCTAGATTGTGCTTACATCACTTATTTTACGGATGCGACCATAACTTCATTCCATTCTTGCGAGATTTTAAAACCTTTCTGAGATTTCATTCTTGACAGCTATTCTTGAAAAACCACACAAAATCATGTAGGTTGCACGAGGAGACTGATGAAACTTCTCAGAAACATTTCTACACCTAAAAGCTTAGCAAAAAATTATTTCCTTTAACACGTCGTTTTACTTTGGCAGTCTGCAATGAAAGGGGGACGAGGAACTATAGTCTAAACTCTGATCTTTTCAAGTACGTTTCTGTCCGCTGTAGTGGTGTACCTAGTAGTACAAAATCCAACACTGCCAGGAAAATTTCGGTCAAGAAATCTTGACGATGCACTTTAGAGGGACAATGATAGAGCTTGAAAGTAAAAAAGTTCACACAGCGAGCTTCCAGAACCCTCTTGCAAGTCCGCCAATGGGGATTTTACATACATGGGCCCGTCCAACCACGTTCGGAAATTCCTAACTGAAACCATTCCAAGTAACACTCATGTAGGAATGTTACCTTTGTGTTCCTCAAGTAATATTATGAAAAGTCACCTGGAGATGGGTAAAAAACGAATTTCATTAACGACCTTTAACTTCTGGCAATATCGTTCCTAGGTCTTCTTGTTTATCCACGTTTGTTTTCACTTCGTCATGTGTTTATATATGAAAACGAGATGGGACAACGTTGCAAAGATTCCTCTACCTGGTTCTAGATGGAGTGGAGTTGAGCTGACTGGGTTCTTATCAGCAAAGGTTCGATTAAACCGTTAGATTCTTTCGTAAATGCAGATTATTCCTTAAAGTTTACCTCCTTATAAATTGTAAAATCCTCTGAATGTTTTGATCTGTTTTATTTTAGTTTTCAACGAAAGACTACCATAAACTATAATTTCATAACATTTCATCTGCGTTTACGAGAACACGTAATGGCAATGGTTTTCATATATTTTAGAAAATATCCGGAGTGACAGGTCAGTATTTGGCAGGATATTTCTCTTTCAGGTCAGATTAAAGTTTTCAGTTTCTTTCGCTGAAGTTACGCGATAACTTCCGGTTCCATGGTTCCATGTAAACGGCGATCAAATCCATATAACTCTGTGCAGTGTATGTGCAGTGTGCGTGGTTAAACTGACGTGACGTGACACTTTTTATACGAACCGGATTCATGCCGGAATAAATTAGTTACACGTACTCGGCGTGCTTCGCGTTAAACACATATACTTGCGCGTCTCATGGCGCGCCTATTCAGGGAGTAAAAAAAAAAAAAAAACAACCACAAAACAAAAACGCCCTCTTTGTTCTGCTCGCAGGGGACAGCGGCGTCGCTAGATTCAGCCTTGGGCCCCGACCTGATAAGGATAGAAAATGAAAGTTGACCCCTGATGGCGAGCTTCCGGAACCCTTGGATAGGAAAAATAACGTGTAAAGATTTTAGAATTTGTAATATTTTTTCGCTCAGTTTCTTCTTATAAAAATCCGACTTGGAAAAAGGGCTTTGAAAAATATTTGCTAGTATATCAATTCATAGAAACTGAAAAAAATACCTGATCTAAAAGAGAAATATCCTGCCAAAAATTGACCCATCACTTCCGAAAATCTAAAATACATGAAGAATAATTCAATGCGGCATGCAGTCTCGTACGCAGATGAACATTTACGGTTTGAAATTTTATGGTAGTCGGTGGGTAAAAGTCGCAATAAAACAGATCGAAATATTTTACACGTTTTCATAATTTATAAGGTAATAAACATAAAGCAGTATTCTACTTTTACGAAAGATTTTGATATTTTATCTAACCTTTGCTGACAACAACTGTGTGATGTCAACTCAACGGAATCTGAAACCCATCGACTGCAAGTAGGTAAATCCTTGCAAGGTTGTACAATCTCGTTTTCAAGAAAGCACGGCGAGTGAAACAAACGTGCATGTACAAAGAGACCTAGGTACGATATCGCTGGACGTGAAAGGTCGTTGATGAAGTTCATTTTTAATATTATTATTATTTATTTCTGGTAATGACACCAAGGATTCCTCAAAAGCACCCTTGGCACTGTAGCTCGCAGGCCTGAAGAAACCTGTTGAGAGGAGACAATGAGAAGCAGTTTTAGAGGTGAGAGGAAAAACCCAGAGGAATATTCTGGGTAAATCCCACGGAATCAGGTAGGGACTGAAAACCCAATCCACATGTTGACCGGGCCTGGATTCGAACCCGGGCCGCAGAGGTGGAAGGCGAGGAAAGAACCACTACGCCAACCCGACCCATCTTCAGGTGACTTTTCCAAAATATTACTTGAGGAAGACAAAGGTAAAATTCCGACACGAGTATTTCATGGGGTGCTTTCAGTAAGGAACTATTTTTCCAAAAATTATCGAATGTGATAAGACGGCCAAATGTAAAATCCCATGGGCAGACTGTGCGAGGGTTCCGGAAGCTTGCTGCGTGACCTTTTACTTTCAGGCTCTATTCTGTGTTACTTTGAGCAGTCGTCACGCAGTAAAAAATGACATAATGTCGGGATGCCAATATGCCCTTGTAAAGATGCTGAACGTGCGCGTCCATTAGGTCTTGAAGGCAGTTTTATCAAATGTTGTGTTTAAGTGGCATTAGTATTCAAACCCATCAACAAAAATTGCAGGAAGATAACTGGGGAGTTAATTTAAACGCTTAAGCCATTTACGAGTGCTAAAGACAGCGACTAGTATCAAAGAGATATATTTTGAAAACTTGGAACAATTTCGGAATTTTCCGGCAGCATAGTATTTTGTTACATAACTGCCATCCCTTCAGTACTTGTGGTTTGGGGGACTTTTGGGAACATATTAACACTAACTTTAAACTATTTTTGTTGAAATATTATATAAAAATATAAAAGAAGTGTTGTAAGTGGTTCAAATTTAAGACAAATTGCTCGTCAGCGAGCGTTTGCCTTCTCGATTTTTTTGTTCTGATTTGAATGTGTCAAAGTGTACTTTTATAAACATATGCAGTCTTTGAACTTAAAGATAAACATCATGTTTTGGCATGATACGTCATTACGTCAATGGAGTCTTTTAAAAATATGCACTTTCTGTCAGATATTGAATATTTTTATTTAAACCAAGTGCCAATACAAGTAGCAAGTGTCAATTAAGATAAATGTACATAAGTCTGGGGAATGTGGTTTCCCGTAATCTTGTGCAATGTCTGTACAGCTTTTGAGAACAGAGCTTTAGGCCCCCCCAAAAAAAAGTCTCCGGTTTTTGGTCAGGAACTGGCTCCAAAAGTGCTGCGGCGACGCGGCTTTTTTTACCTTTGCTTTTTTTCTGGAAAGGATGTAAGAAACGTGCGACGTCCATCGCAACTACATGCGCACGTAACCCCCCCCGCTACCAACACTGAAATAGACTGGCCCCCACACTTTTACTGTTTAAAAGCACTTTCAGCTTGTGCATGTTAACAGGACATAGGACACCTCGTTTGTCTTGTTCCTAGATGTAAATGTATAATACAGATATTACGTTATCTGAAAAAGAGTGCCCGGCTACATGTACGGGGAACTACAGAGACACCTGTATTGTACATAATTACTCAACCGTACCAATCAAAAGGGCGTTAAAATTACGAAGTAGCAGGATTCCAGTTGAGTTTGGCAACTTTTGAACATCGTTTTATACCAAATCAAAAATACATATTTTGCCGATAGGCAGGCCTACGGCAACGCGCACGCTGACCAGAAACTCGAGACTTTTTTGGCCTTATCTGTTTACGTGAACATTTTGGTACACAAATACATGTACATGAGAATAACTTCATCCTGCTGCACTTAATGGCAGATCTACAGGGCTCACACCAGTCAGTGCATTGAAGCCACAAAAGCATTTTTAATCATATACGACTTTACCTTAATATCATTGTGTAATAAAAACAGTGTGTCCTAAATGAAAATTAAGGTTAATTTCCTCCTGTTTTTGTAATAGACGCATTGTCCCCATTTTGTCTGCTTTAACTTGGAATGGGTCTTTTCTTTTACAAAGCCAATTTATTTAGGCAGATTATCCGCAAGCCATCAGTCAGGGAACAAAAGTCTTCTCCACAGCTAATGTGGACACTACACTCATTCACAGCCCCCTAGGACCCTCCTGTCGTTGACATTTTACAAACACTGACTATATCATTTCCTTTGGGGGCGATGAGTTTGCATAGGTTTTATTGGTAATTTGCGGCTGTCTTTGATGAAATGAAACATTTATATACTCTTACCATTCAGAAACGTAGTTATTTTCGGTTCACTTAGTGTTTTACCGTTAATTGTAGCCAAGACATCTATACATGCTGGCGCAAACCTCGGGTGCGACATAGCTTAAGGACAATGCAATTGAAGGGTCTTTCACATTATTGTAACTTCGCTAAGGGGACTGCGTTGGCTCCAGGCATCTGACAAAGCTATACACATTGGTAGATCAGCAATAGATTAAAGCTTGACAAGAAGAATGTTTCGTAATGTTGGACTCGTTTTGACACGTCGACATCCATATTCTCGCCTGAATTCTTGTGAAATCTTGTTTGTGTGCTCCGGCGACGTAAAACTGGATACATAACGCTCTCCGACTATGCAACCCGCTGCTTTGTATCAGCAGGCCTGTTACGTGAAGAATAAATCTATAAAATCGAGAATAGTTGCAATATTTTGTGGAAGTTGTCACGATTTCATCCACGGACTTGGGTGCTGCGCCTTGAAAAGTTTTTCTGGCCTAAAGATTCAATGAACCAGCGCGGACAAGTCCTGAAAGCTCTTTTGAATACACGTGCGTTATTATGCCCGATACCCCCATTCAGCTATGTACATCAGTGACCCGCGTTCGATGAGGAAAGATCTAAACTAACTTCAGGTGAGAGTGCATGTTCGTGAATGAAAGTGCTTGGCCAGCGGATTTTTCAAGGAGCAGAAACTTACAGATTTTGGGTTAGCCTCTCTGTTTTGTTCAATTGATGCACTTCTTTTGATAAGGGTATGATTTTCCATCACTTTTTCTTATATGTAAAATAATGCAAAAATATGTTTCAATACCTATTTGATAATCTTTTATCCAGATTCAGTCTTTTTTTGGGCTTGTAGCTAATATTTTTTCCTTAGATTATAGTTCGATCCGATCCTTTCTTAGACTCAGTATAGTGGTTTAAACTGAGCATTTGATGGCTGGTAGGTTTTGAATACATGTGGAAGGATTTGATGGTTTCGTTTTCTTTGAGGCTTTTGAAATTTTGTATCTTTGACCCGTTGTTATAAGTTTTGTAACGTTCATTTGTCCAGGTTTTAATTGCTTGAGTGCCTGTGTTTAGGTTTCGTGAACACTTTTAACGACAGAGTTGTGGTTTCTCTTTTTTTTTACATTCTGGGCGATGTTCAAATTGTTTTAGGTTTTGTGACAAACCTTTTTCGGTTTTAGGCAGCATAGAAAATGCCTTAGTCCCTGGTTCTTTTTTTTTTCTCAGAAAAAAAGTTGTTTATAAAGACAGGTAATCTGCCTATGTATTAATGAATGCCACAGGAATGTGCTTGCATTAATCCCCTGAGCGCATGCACAGTTGGTATTTCGGTCGACCTTCCTTTTGTGGCTTTCAGCGCAGTATGCCTTTGCACATAGACTGTAGGTTTCACAGGAGTGTTATTTTTAAATACCCGATTTTAAGTTGCTAATAGTCCCTCTCTTATTTTACGTTACAAGTTTTAGATTATCTCTGTGTTTCAAGGGCATTTTTCATCTGTGCTCTCTGGGTTAATTTCAGTTTTTTGCTGTTTTAGACGCATGTATTTTTCAACTGTCCACTTAATTCCGTCTGGTATCCAGACATTGAATTCCATACATTATGACGCAAGATGTGGGGCGGAGAGACCCCCTTGCCTTTGTGTTGGTCGTTTTTGATCAGAATCTCGGGAATTCTTTACAGACTTCTGGGTGTGTGTGTGTGTAACAATAGTCTAGAGTCTGTATATTGATTGGACGGGGGGGGGGGGTACCCATCGTGCATGGTATCATTCCATAGGCGCTGTTGGTCTGCAGGTACTGGTATTTTATATGTCTGTGGCTTTTATAGGGTATGCGCGTTTGCAGGTGAACACGTGTAGGTGAATGAACTTTTTACACAGTGTTATTCAATCAGTCACAACATTTTCAAGTGTGTATGATTTAATTTCTGAACAGTAACAATCCGAAGAAACTCAAGAGGCCTAGGATCACCAGAGCGGCCAGCAGAATCGTTGTTATTAATGTAAAACAACTAATCGATTTGACCTGATTTGTATAGAGAGGACGCGTCCTTTCAATTCTGAGATCAGTTACACTAGGTCAGGGAGATTCGCACATAAGCCTACTACTTGACACAAATTTTCATCTTTACTTAGTGCAATTCGTATATTTAATGAATTAAATAAGCAATACCAAAAATATTTGAAGACGGATTGGTCCTTTTCATTTAATTTCATATTGTGGTTGCATGTTTTAAATACCGTTTGATTAACTGATGTTTTAATTTAATATTTGTTGACTAGGCCTATATCC